TATATTTAAATAATATTTATTATATATATAATACATACACAGATATATATATATATATTAACAACTACAACAAAAAAATAGCCGGGTATTAAGGTGGGCGCCTGTAGTCCCAGCTACTTGGGAGAGTGAGGTAAGAGAATAACTGAAGCCCAAGAATTTGAGCTTGCTGTGAGCTGTGACGCCACCACACTCTATTGAGGGCCACATAGTGAGACTCTGTCTCAAAAAAAAAAAGAAAGAAAAATTGCTGTGAAGGGTGGACTAGGCGCTGGTGTCTGTGCATAGCTTCCCAAGGGGAAGGGAAGCGTAGTGATATTCACCAATGAGGTGTGTAGCACTTTCTCTAGGATGAGTTTGCAAACTTAAGTGTCAGACCTCGTATGTAATTTTATCTTACATATCCTTTTTTTTTTTTTTTTATCTTACCGAACCCGCCACCTTAGGTGTATGTGACTGATGCCTTACCTGCTTGAGCCACAGGCGCCGAGCCGGAACTGTTTGTTTTTTGAGACAGAGTGTCTCTGTCAGCAGGGCTGGAGTACAGTGGCGGAACCATAGCTTACTACAACCTCAAACTTCTGAGCTCAATTGATTCTCTCCGCCTGACCTCCCAAATAGCTGCACTACAAGCACATGCCACTCCACCTAGCTATTTTAAAAAATTTTTGTAGAGATGAGGTCTTACTGTGTTGCCCATGCTTATCTCAAACTCCAGGCTCAAGTGATCCCATTGCCTCACACTACCAAGTAGCTAGGACTAATAGGTGATTTCCACTATACCTGGCTTGATTTTTTTTTTTTTTTTTTTTTATAAACAGGTATCTCACTTTGTTGCCCAGGTTGGTCTTAAACTCCGGCTTCAAATGATCCTTCTGCCTCAACCTACCAAAGTGCTAGAATTCTAAGCCTGAGCTACCATGCCTAGCCTACAAAATGTTTTGATAGGTATTTTTATTTAAAAACATAAGCCTCGGCTTGGCGCCTGTGGCTCAAGCGGCTAAGGCACCAGCCACAGACACCTAAGGTGGCGGGTTCGAATCCCCAGCCCGGGC